TTTTTTTTTTTTTTTTTTTTTTTAGACAGAGTCTCACTCTATTGCCCAGGTTGATCTCAGTTCACTGCAATCTCTGCCTCCCGAGTTCAAGTGATTCTCTTACCTTAGCCTCCAGAGTAGCTGGGACTACGGGTACACACCACCACACCTGGCTAATTTTTGTATTTTTAGTAGAGATGGGGCCAGGCTGGTCTCGAACTTCTGACCTCAGGTGATCTACCTGTCTTGGCCTCCTAAAGTGCTGGGATTACAGGCGTGAGCTGTCACACCCGGCCAAGGGCTCAATTTATGTTTGGACATGTATCATAGATGAATGGGTGTATGTATGTATGTATGTATGGATGGATATTAGGTGGTGGGTAGGTGGATATATGGATAATGGGATGTGTGGGTGGATGGATGGGTGAGCTGATGGGTAGATGGGTGGATGCCTGGGTAGGGAGGTGGGTGAATGCACAGATAAACGGGTAGATGTGTGGGTGGTTGGTCAGTGTGGAGGTAGATGGATGAGTGGGTTGGTGAGTGGAGAGATGAATGGAATAAGTGGGTGAATGTGTGGTCAGATGGGTATTGAGTGGGTAGGTGGGTGGACTAGGTTTGGATGGATGGATTGTGGGTGGATGAGTAATTGAGTAATGGATGGATAAAGATATGGATGGGTAAGTGAATGGGTAGATGGATGGATAGATGGAGGAGAAGGACGGATGATGGATGGATGGACGGACAGATGGATGAATGAAACATCTTCCCATCAAGCCTCAGGGAACCCGCAGTACCGAGACCCAGGCTGACCCACTACTCTGGATGTGCCCATTCTCGGAGTCCTGAGGTCTAATGGAAGTTTGAGAATTGCACAATCCCTAGCCCTTAGACACTCACACCTCTCCTGCATCCAGCCTCTATAGATAATGCCATTCTCCTTCCAAGTTCAAACTCATCCCCACTGATCCTAGAAGACAAGAAAGGAGGGTAAGTGGGTCTTTCAGAGACACCCCCAGATGCCTCTAAGTCTCCCCCACCCCTTCCTACACCAGGGGATCCCTCTACCAAGATAGACTGAGTCATAAGAAGGTGCTGGCCCTTTAAGAAAAAGTGGAGCCTTCTGAGGTGTAAGGCTTGAAGTCTGGAAGAAATGAGGTTGTAAGGAAAAGGTGGGGGACCAGGAAATCTGTCTTGGCATCACCTGCTCTCCACTAGGCAAGTGACACACTGTATTCTGCTTGAATTGAATCTCAGGTGGGCATCTTTCAGAGGGCTGGTGCGCAGGAGCGGGGCCTAGCGAAGGCGGCGGGGCTTACCCGGAGGCCGGACGGCCACGTGTGGCTGCGTCTCGGTGTAGCCCCCGATGGGCTGGCCCTCTGGGCTGAAGGCTGCACCCTGCCCTGCGAAGGGGGTTCAGAGGTTCAGGCTGAGCTCCAAGAAGCCCTGGACCCAGCTTTGACGCCCTCCTAAGAACCCCAGGCTCTCCGTCCCCGCCTTCCCCCTGTACCTGTGCGGTTGGATTGATCGATCATCGGTTGCACGATGCGTCTCCGGGCATTAATGAACCTGGGAAGCGGTCATGGAAACGGAGGGGAATGAAAAGAGGGAGTGGGAGAGAGGCCAAAACGAACGCAGAGCGGGCCGGGAGGACAGCGGCAGGGGAGGCAGGGCGGGGCGAGCAGGGGCAGTGGCTCCGCCGGGCTCGGGGTCTCCGTCAGCACCGCGGACAGCTCCCGGGCTCCCGCCCCGGGCCAGCTCGCGGGCCCTCCTGGGCCACTCACCAGTTGTTGACTTGCAGGATGGTGAGCCCCGTGTCCTGCGCCAGCTGCTTCTTCTGCTCTTCCGAGGGGTACGGGTGCTGCGGCCACCAGCAAGAGTCACTCTGCCTGCCTGGCCGGCCGCAGTCTGAACCCTAAGGTCTGGCCCACCGGGGCCCGGGGGATGGGGAGCCCAGGCAGACATGTGGGAGAGCCGGCGCGTATGAGCGTCTCTGCGCTCCCCAGGATGGAGGCCAAGGGAGCCCCAGGCTTGGGACAATTACATGCCTGCGAGCCCCCGCCTGTTCCAGCAATTAGAGGTTAATTGGCCAGATCCGATTAGAGAGACCGTATTGGGGGAGGGGGGCTCCTGTGACATGGAGGAGGGGGCTTCACTGGCGTGGGGGAGGGAAGCAAAGCCCAGCCCCTCCCCCTCTGAATCTGTCAGAGTCTCTGTGTGGCCCTCCCCCTATCCATTTATTTATTTATTTATTTATTTGAGATGGAGCCTTGCTCTGTCGCCAGGCTGGAATGCAGTGGCAAGATCTCATCTCACTGCAACCTCCGCCTCCGGGGTTCAAGGGATTCCTCTGCCTCAGCCTCCCCAGTAGCTGGGACTACAGGTGCGCGCCACTATGCCCGGCTAATTTTTTGTATTTTAGTAGAGATGGGGTTTTACCATGTTGGCCAGGATGGTCTTGATCTCCTGACCTTGTGATCCACTCGCCTCGGCCTCCCAAAGTGTTGGGATTAGAGGCGTAAGCCACTGCGCCCAGTCCTCCCTATCCATTTCTTTTTCTTTCTTTCTTTTTTTTTTTTTTT